TTTTTTTTTTTTTTTTTAGAGTTTTTCCTTACTTGAAAATAGATAGCATAGGCACCAGTTTCTGGTCTGTTTTATCTCACTGTGTTTATCAGGACACCTGTCAGCCATCACACAAAATACATGAAAAGAGGAGGGTGGTAAGCAAATATTTAAATTGCAGTATTCATGGGGAAAATACTAGCATTTGCTTTGCGTTTGTGTTGTTTGGGGTTTTCTTTTGATTTCTTAACTAAGTGGTAGAAATGCTGCTTCCAAATGACTCTCTCAGCATCGAGTTTCATATTCTGGAGAATTTGCTATACACAGCAAAACTGTTTTGCTTGACTTTTTTCCTATCCTTTCTCCTGAATAGCTCCCTGGATGCATACGTAATTTCCTTGAATAACCTGTGCCAATTCATGCCATGCAAACATGCTTTTTTGTTGTTGTTGCAGTAGACAGGGCAGCACTGCAGCCCGTGAGAAACTGGGTACATTCGGTAACTAGCCACATTGCACATTTAACTCTTCACAAGCTGTTTTTAACTTTTCCTGGTTTCTACTTTACATCCTAGAGTTCCAGTGATATACGTAGCTATTTTAACATTTTAAAGTATTTTATTTTTTGGAAATTTACATCTTTATGGATTATTAACAACAAAAAAGACATTTTAGAGTATTCCACAGGTGAGATTTCACAATTTGGCCATTATCTGTTGAAATATAAATGATCAGTAAAGCAGGTAACACATTTTCACTGCACAGAAGAAGCAGCCCAAAGCCAGAAATCCTTACTTAAAACTACTGATTTTAAATTCTATGTATATTTTTGGAGTCTAACTTGATCATAATTGATTCTTCTCTGTGGTTTGACTCCATTTCTGGTTTATTTATTTATTCTCTTTCATATTTACTGTTTAAAGAATGTAAGGGTCGTGGACATTTAATTCTGCCTTGCCTCATTGATCTTTGCTCTTATTTTATTGATTCAGCAAATTGTTCTGCTTCCAAGACTTCATAAAGAAATTTTCACCATAGGCCATAACTGTGCCAACGATGAAATTAGAAGTTTCCAAAGTCCTCTTTTTCTTTTTTCTAGAACTTGTTTAGGAGCCGTTTACAATTACAGTATGAGAAAATAAGGAACTGCCTCTTCTTGCTACTTGGTGGTAATTAGTATTTAAATTATTTTTGATGAGTGGTATAAATGCTAGATTTGATAAATTATGGCTATGAATTTTAATTGCCCTTTTAATCAGAAAGATATAAGTATGTAAGGGTACAAATTGATGAATTATATAAAAGAAAAATAAATAGGTAATATATATATATGTATTCGAAATGTTCAATTATGTGAATTGCCTGCAAAGTGCACAGTGAAAATAGTTAAAAATGACTTTGGACTATTACTTTCCAAATTAAAGACAACGGAAAAGGTAGTACTATTGAGAATGGTTCCAAGAAATGTGTGCTTTTCACTGACATTATTCTGGCAATCATAACCACACAATTGGTCATAAAATAAAACATAAAATATGATTTAAATAGTACAATTCCTGTGAAAGAGCTTTCTGCATGTAACAGACATATAGTTAGAGAACAAAGCAGAGTACAAAATTTGCAGGAACTGTTTTGGCAACAACAGAAAAATATCACCTTTCCTTTGACATTGTGTATCAGTTTTACCAGTTACTTCTAAATTTGTAAATTATTTTGTAAGCAAGAAGCAGAAAACTCAAAACTTGTCTAACATAATACAGGATTTGTGTGATGGGCTTAGGATGGATAGCTCTGTCTTCTTGAGCTGTGTTATCTAACTTGTATATAAAAAATTGTAGTCAAAAGTTTGGATTCACCTGTTTCTCCCAGCTTAAAGAGATGAGTGGTGGCAAATTCTGGAAATGTGAGTAGTGTATCATATAAGGCTGTAGAAGCAAGGAAGCTCATTCAAGGGCTAAAACTAAGCACTTCCAGTTTGGGGCTCAAATTCAATAAGTACTATCTGTGTACAAAGATAGTTGACATGAAAATGCTGTAGGTTGCTTTTCACCCTTGTAGCTATAAAATATAAATTTTATAGAATAGAAATAGCTTGTACTACTTTATTAACAAAAGTTGCTCTTTGAGGAAAACGCGGTCGTAGCTGTTGTGGATCGTTAGTCCGCATGCTCCTGCCCCTGACTCACTGCTGTTCCCTCTTGCCGAGGAACAGGTCGGTCAGGAAGCCACGCAGCAGCCATGGCTTTTAAGAATGCCGGAAAAACACCCGTGGAGCCAGAGGTGGCCATTCACCGAATTCGAATCACTCTATCAAGCCACAACGTAAAATTGCTGGAGAAGGTGTGTGCTGACTTGATCAGAGGAGCAAAGGAAAAGAATCTGAAAGTGAAAGGACCAGTTCGAATGCCTACGAAGACTTTGAGAATCACTACAAGAAAAACACCTTGTGGTGAAGGTTCTAAAACATGGGATCGTTTCCAGATGAGAATCCACAAGCGACTCATTGACTTGCACAGTCCTTCTGAGATTGTTAAGCAGATTACTTCCATCAGTATTGAGCCAGGAGTTGAGGTGGAAGTCACCATTGTAGATGCTTAAGTCAGTTATTTTAATAAATTGATTATCAGTTGTTAAAAAAAGTTATACTAAAATATCACATATACATATATATGTATACATATATACTAAAGTATCACATAGCACACACACACACACACACACACACACACAGAGAGAGAGTCAAGCTTATTGCTGTTACCCTGTCTGGATTTGAAAAATATGCTGAATATGTATTATATACACACACACACACATCTAAAATGGCCTAAAGCAGACAGCCATATAATTACAGTTGCAAAATGAAAACTTTTTGAAAGAACATTGTATCATACTTCATTCCTTTGCAGTGAATCTTTGTTCTTTCTTTCTGTTGTAATTTTAGAAATGAGTTCCAAGTTCGGAATTAAATCTGCTAAACTGGGGCTGTGCCATTGAACTTCAATGAAGTTTTGTCCCTTTGTGTGATGAAGCAGCTACATCCCAACAATAGGAGAAAAAACATCTAGAACTATTTCCAGTTTAATTTTTTTGCATATGAAAATAAAATAATAGTGATAAAAAAGAAAAATGATAACATTACCACTATTTGTAGATATTCTCACTGTGAGCCTAAAACATTAAGAACTAAAAACGGGTCAAGTGCGGTGGCTCACGTCTGTAATCCCAGCACTTTGGGAGGCTGAGACAGCCAGATCACTTGAAGCCAGCAGTTTGAGACCAGCCTGGCCAAGATGGCAAAAGCCAATCTCTACTAAAAAATACAAAATGAGCTAGGTGTGGTGGTGCAAGCCTGTAATTAACTTTTGTATTTTTGTTATTTTTAGTAGAGATGGGGTTTCACCACGTTGGTCAAGATGAAGTTCAAACTCCTCACCTCAGGGGATCCACGTGCCTCAGCCTCCCAAAGTGCTGGGATTACAGGGGTGAGCCACTTCGCCCAGCCTCTGTCGTCTTTCATTAGTGGTGTAACTGTGAATGGTAACTGCATTCTGCATGCCTCACTCCAGCTGTCTTTGGTCATGAAATGATTCTGCCCTTGGACACTTCTGCTGGAGTATTCTCCAGCCTGAGGTATCCCCACTTCCTCATCACCTTCTCCAACTTGGCTTTAATCTCCATGTTTAGCTCTATCATCTGATCCTTTATTTCTTCTCTCTTTCCTTTGGTCCACATTCGCTTTTAAAGAAATGACACTTTATAAAATTTGTTTTACATCCACTTTTCTTATTTGGTCTAAAGTTTTTATCTCTCACCTGCGTGGCATTTGTTTTTGTTGACACACACCTCGCACTGACTGAATTCCTTTCGTGCTGTAAATACAGAGTCATCCCATCAACATGACAAGAGAACCACGATCCACACTATTATTTGTCATGGAGAAAACAGTTTTGGTGAGGATCTTTAACTTGTCCAGATCACACAGCTATAACGGTGGAACCTGGTTTCAAATCTGATTGCGTCTGACTTCAGAGACCATAACCTTAGTCTCCATGCTCCCTCCAGCTGTGAGGAATAGGTTAAGGCAAAAGAAAAAAAAAAAGTCTGTCTTTCATGGCTTAAACCTTAGAGATCCTTAGTATGGTGAGTTTAGGACTGTCTCTAGAGCCATTTAATATGTACTAATTAAGCCACTACGATGGTATGCAGCTGTGGACTATTTCAGTGTTTCTTTGAAAGTCTATAGTCACCTTCATCTGCTCTTTTTAAAGAAGGGTTTTCCTAATAGTATTGTTTCTGGCAATGTCTTAGCCATCTTGGACTGCCATAACAAATGTACCATAGACTGCATGACTTAAACAATGTATGTCTCTCATTTCTAGAGGCTGGGAAGTTCAAGATCAAGTTACCAGTAGATCCAACATCTAGTTAGGGCTCTCTTCCTGGTTTGCAGACAGTTATCTTCGGGTTGTTTCTCCACATAGTGAAGAGAAAAAGAAGCAAACTCTCTGACAGCTTTTTGTTTGTTTGTTTATGTTTTTTTAGAGACAAGGTCTTGTTCTGTCACTCAGCCTGAGGCACAGTGGCATAATCATAGCACACTGCAGCCTTGAACTGCTGAACTCAAGCAGGCCTCTGGCCTTAGCCTCCCAAGTAGCCAAGACTAATAGCATACAAGAACATGCCCAACTAATTTTTTAAAATTTTTTGTAAACATGGGATCTCACTATGTTGACCAGGCTTGTCTCAAACTCCTGGCCTCAAGTGAAAAGCTTTTATTATAAGGGAACTATTTCCATCTTGAGGGTTCTACACTCATGAACTAATAGCCTCTCAAAAACTCTACCTCCTAATACCATCCTACTGAGAATTGGATCTTCAACATATGAATTTTGGGGAAGCACACACATTCAGCACATTGTAGGTAGTACAGATATTTTTTTGGTTCAGTCCTATATGTTAGGGCTCTGGTTGACCCAATTCAGATAGAGCTATTATGAGAACACCTTTCCTTAAGTTTCATGGTTGGTTATGAGACAACACCACAGAAGAAGGTCACTTTTTCTCAGTTCTTATGTCTTTAGCCATGGTGATGACTCAATCTGATGAAACTCCAGAAATGAATCTAATGAAACCTTCACTGGGTTATTGGGTAAGATGTCATTCTATATACCTGAATCAGTGGATAAGGTAAACCAGCTGCCAGCGTGCTGAAATGAGACATGGAGATTCATGATCTGTGCACCTGCTACCTGCTTTGTGTCTGCACCGTGGTTGGTCACAGGGCAGGTATGTGTATATGTGGCAAGCTCCCTTTAAGAACTTTGAACTCTAAGTCTCAAGTGGGCTTTCCCGAATAAGGAAATGTCCCTGCAATTCACAGACAGAAAAAACATGAATCCATGTGATCTTTGCGAGGAAAAACAAGAATGTGTGGCTTTGACCTAGGCTCCATCTATGTAAATCTTTCCCCTGCTGTTTCTACACAGTATTCTTCATTTAATAAGTTGTAGCTACATATATAATCTTATCTCGAAATATCTAAGTCCTTCCAGCAAATCACAGAACTAGTGAGTATTCGAATACTCCAGATAAAATGCTTGGTAAGGTTTTACTGCATCTCTCTATTTTTTGTTTTGTTTTGTTTTGTTTCTGTCTGGTTTTAGGAAGAGAAATTTTCGGCAAATATGATTCTTTATTGCCAATTCTGTTTCCTGGATTACCTGTTAGATTTTGCCTCACTTTCCTTGTATTTTCACGATTCTGTGTTTTTCATAGCCAGAAAAGAAGAGAAAAGTAAAGGAGTAAGAGGAAGAAGAGGAGAAGGAGAAGAGGAGGAAGAGAAAGAAGAGGAGAAGCAGGAGGAAAAAAGATGAAATTAACTAGATAGTATAATGGTAGAAAATAGTGACTGTAAAATATAACTTATAAGAATTAATAAAAGTGTAATTAATCTAAATTCTCTCTGAACTCCTGGAGAGGAACATCTTTTTTGTTCTGCTGTTGTGCACATTTGTTTTAAACTCTGATCCCCACAGCTCTGGGAAGAGTCATTATACTTTTTTTCCTAAATATATTCGCTGGAGTTTTTCGGTCCTTGCCCAACAAGTGCATCTACATTTCCCAGAAGAAATTGGAGCTTTAATTAAGCTTGCAAGAGCCTTCAGTCCTATAAAAACTAAATAATTAAAAGATCTTCAGAACCAGAGGCAGCAAGGATGCAATTTTATGAACACACACACCTGTCCATTTTCCAGTGCCAACATAAGGTGTTTATGTCCTAAAGGGATAGGTCTAAGCTAGGAAAGAAGGAGAGAAAAGAGAAGCATCTAGATAATGGCCATTACTAACTGCTAAGACCATTTAAAATAAATCTTTTTCATCAGTTAATCACATTAATCACCTAGTAATGTTTCTGATGCTGACCCAGTACAGCTCTGAAGTAAAGAAACACAGATTCAGCATTTTAGTCTCTCCTTTGTTTTGTCCTTAAGTTTCCTTTCCTCTGCCAAGGCAGAATTTTTGCTGAGCCGCACGGGGTTTCCTGACTTTCAACAGCAGTGGGTAAACACCAGCTGGCTTTCAATATGCAATGTGTGTACTTACCTTTCCGTAACTTTGGTTCCGTAATTTTATACCAAAACAATTTCTCAGTTTAACCTCTTCTTGCAGAAAAACATATGCTCACTTGTTTTCAATGAAGCACTCTCGGGAGTTCACACTTAGGATCTAGAACTGTTTCCAAACTCTGAAACACAGATGCATTCTCCACAGGTCTCCCCAGGGTCTTCAAAAACACAGAATCAGAATAAGAATGCAAAGTTATGCTTTAGAAAATATAATTCAAGAACCTATTTCTTAAGAAAGTATTCTCATTGATAGGAGGAGGAAAACACATAGAAGACACTTTGGGAAGCCAAGGTGAGTGGATCACCTGGAGTCAGAAGCTCAAAACCAGCCTGGCCAACATGGTGAAACTTCATCTCTACTAAAAAATGCAAAAATTAGCCCGGTGTGGTAGCACATGCCTGTAGTCCCTGCTACTCGGGAGTCTGAGGTGGGAGAATCGCTTGAACCCGGCAGGTGGAGGTTGCAGTGAGCCAAGATCACGCCACTACACTTCAGCCTGGGTGATAAAGTGAGACTCCATCTTGAAAAAAAAAAAGAAAAATGAAAAGGAAAGAAAAGAAAACACATGGAAGAGAATAGGCTAGATCATTTTATACCAGTGCAACTACAAATGCACTTGCATGTACCCATGACTGACCCAGCCCATTCTGATAATTAGTGTCTGACACACTTAATTACCATGCATCAATTTCCAAGGATTGATTCACCGGGAATCCCCTTCAATTCTGAGACTGACACCTAGAAATAATAATTTGCAGGGTGCCTGTCACAGTATTCAAATATTAAGCACGGCAACTCAAATCTGAATTGCCATATACAGAATGTGTAAGCAGTATAGTAGTTTAGCTATACAAATACACACTTTTAAAATAGAATACGGCCTGGTGGGGTGGCTCACCCCTGTAATCCCAGCACTTTGGAAGGCCGAGGCAGATGGATTGCCTGAGGTCGGGAGCTCCAGACCAGCCTGGCTAACATGGTTTGTAGACACCCCATCTCTACAAAAATACAA